CCGGCGGCCCCCACGCTGCCCGGGCGCCGGGCCTGCGCCAGCAGCGTCGAGACCAGCCGCAAAGGGCGCCCGCGACGACCCCTGGGCCAGAACGGCCGGGGGCCCGCCCCCTTCCGGGCCAGCATACCCGCTTCCGGCGCAGGGCGAGGCCTTCGGGGCGCCCAGCGTGGGAAGCCAAGCTCGCACACGAGCCCTGAAGGACGGACGCACGTGCCCCTAATCCTAGCGCTCTGTGAGGCCAGGATGAAGAATCCCAAACCCAAATCTAGCCTGGCTACTTTGCAAGATCTTGTCTAAAACTTAAAAGCGGCCGGGGAGATGGCTCAGTGGAGTAAGTGCTTCCCTGGCAAGCGCAAGGGCTTGAGCTCAATCCCCGGTTCCACCTAAATAAAGGGACCAGGGATGTAGTGTGAAGGCAGGCTCTGGGCTCTCTCCAGCACAACAAACACGTACAGTAAATCTTATTTTGGGCTGGCCAAATACATCAGCGGATTACAGCGCCTGCAAGCAGGTGCAGGAGCCAGAAGTTGGGGGGGGGGGGGCGCTGAGCCAGCTTTTTTTTTTAAATTTTTATTTATTTGTGTGTGTGTGTGGCCAGCTCAGCCCACCAGGGGTCGGGGCTGGCTGGCATGTGGTGCTGGGGGATTGAACCGCGGTCCCAGTGCTTTGCTGAGCTTGTTTTAAGTAGGTGCTTTAGACCACTGAGCCATCTCACCAGCCCTGACCCAGCTATTGAGACGGCGGCGGCGTGGTGTGCACCTGTAATCCCAGCTCTTGGGAGGCTGCAAACAGGCAGATCACTAGGAGTCCGATCTAGTAGAGAGACCCTGAACAGCCTGCCTTCAGACAGACGTTCATGGAAACCCTGTGCAAAGCAGGCCGGAGATGGAGGACACAACTTTATTACGGAAATACTGAGTTGGCAGAAGTCCCAACAGCAGGACGGTAAGAGCATCTGCTCACAACGCACACACATGCCCTGACCTCCCTCATCCAGACAGTTTCCCTTCCACAGGGCTCCCCAGGGCCTGCTGTGGGCCACTGCCCGGTGTCCCAGCCCTACGGCGCAGGAGCACTCGGGCAGCTCTGCTCAGCTGGCACCATGGGGGGCTCCTCGGGCATGGACTCAGGCGGGGGCCCACTCTCTTCTCGAAGATGGCCCTGGTAGAGCCGGCGAAGCCGCGACAGTTCTCTTTCTGGTGGCTGCTTCCAGCTGTACCAGGGGTACCAAGGATCACCTGAAAGCAGGGTGGGGGCTGGCGGAGTGACACTCACAGCTCCATGTGACGTGCTGAAGTCCAGGTCCCGGGGCTCCACCTGGGGAATGTGGTAACTGAGGAGCCCTGAGATTGGGGAAAACACAGGATCAGTGAGGAGGGGTCACGGAGCCAACCCAGAAATGGACACGAAGATCTTCCTAGGAACTTGTAGGGCACTGGGACCTCGTGTTGCAAACAAGGCAGGGGAAGAAGAATTTTACAAAGAGACAGGAACATGACAACAGATTCAGCAGAGGGGACAGGGCACTGAAGTGTGAAGAGATCTTGGGAAGAACACGGTGTTTTCGGAAAGCACAAGGGTGTGCACATTCTCAGGGAGAGGGCGCCTATGAGCTAAATCCCACCTGGGCCGCAGACCCTTCCTGTGCGAGAGAAAATCGCCCTCTCCCACACTGCCCGCCACCTACCATGCTCCCTGGCTTTCTGAATGGCCTCAGTCAACTTCTTGTGCTGCTTCATGCAGACCCCTGTGGAGAGAGCCAGGGCACGCTGCTAAGGCGCAGTGACTCATGAGTTCAGCTGATCTTACGTGATGTCAGGGTGGATGTGGTGTGCCCTGCTTTCCTGAAGACCATTTCCCCAGGCTCGACTACCTCCTCGGCCTAAAGAGCTGTCCCCTGCTTCTGGGAGACAGAATCAGGACTTGGGCCCTTAGCCACTACAGAAAAACCATATAATGGCAAAGGCTTTAAGAAAGGGGGCAGAGGGGCCAGGGAGATGGCTCAGTGGAATAAGCGCTTTCCTGGCAAGCGCGAGGGCCTGAGTTCAATCCCCGGTTCTGCCAAAAAAAAAAAAAGTAAAAGTTTAGGGGCTGATGAGATGGCTCAGTGGTCTAAAGCACCTACTTAGAACAAGCTTAGCAAAGCACAGGGACCGCAGTTCAATCCCCCAGCACCACATGCCAGCCAGCGCAGCCCCCTGGTGGGCTGAGCTGCCCCCCCCCACAAATAAATAAATAATAAAAAAAAAAAATAAAGAAATAAAAGAGAAAGGGGGCAGAGCAGGTCATGATGGTGCACACCTATAATCCCTACATTCAGGAGACAGGCAGGAAGAGTGCCACAAATTCAAGGTCAGCCTGGGCTACACAGACCGTCTCGAAAGACCAAAAAGAAGCCGGGACGTAGCTCAGTGGCACAGCACCTGCCTGGCAAATACAAGGTCCTGAGTTCTATTGCCAGTACAAAAAAATGGGGGGAGGGGGCAGAACATCATCACAGGCAAGAGTGACAAAGGTCAAGGTGGGCAGTCCTGAGACAGCTCCCGGAAGGAACGGCTTCCACCCTGGGAAGCTGAGCTCAGGCAGCTGTGCCTTCGTGTTCCACAGCACAATAAAACCCTGACCATGTTGCTGCGCCAGGGACAGGACACAGAGTATGGACATGCAAGTTTATCTTGCCTGAGAGCAGGTGCTAGCAAAATTTTTCTGTAGAGAAAAACATAGGCAGGTGTTACAAAGCTTGGCAATGTCACCGGGAGCAGTTGTAGACCGTGAAAGAACAAACTGCTGCTGGTGCCCTATTTGTGAGAGGGTCTCACTAGTCCAGTCACTGCATAGCCCAGGCTGGCCTCCAACTCACGGCAATCCTCCGGACCCGGCCTCCCCAGTGCTGGGGTCACAGCGTGCGCCACCCCCAGCATCACTGACCCTGCTCACAGAGGGGCTTGTCTGTATCTTTTCCCACACACATAACAGCTCTAGCATGAGTACCTCCCCTGAGATTTCAAGAACATTCATCCAGACTTCGTAGGCCACCCACCAAACACCCGTGAGCAGTGACTTGCACAGGGAGTGACAGGGGAGTGACAAGGACATGTGGGGCATACCTGTGTATGGAGCATGGAAGATGATGCCCGTGTGGGCACAGACAAACTGTTCCAAGAGCTTCACGTTCTGTGGAAGAGAGTAGTGGAGCAACACAAGAAGAGGCTGCTGGGCACCCGGGCCTCTGCAGCCAGACCCGCGCGATCCCCTCGCCCACACACCCTTCCCAGGGTAGTTCTCCCTGCATCTGCACCACCCCTGAGGCCCAGACCACCAATTCACGGGCCGTCAGCCACTGCTCCAAACTAGGTGTGTGACTAAAATCTTGTATGCACCCGCTGAGAATGTGAGGGGTTTTTTTGTGGCTGGCTCAGCCCAACCCAGGGGCAGGGCTGGTGCAGCATGTGGCGGTTGGGGATCAAATTGCAATGGCTGTGTTTTCCTAAGCAGGATTTTAGTCCACTGAACTATCTCACCCGCTCCTTTTTTACTTTTTTTTTTTTTTTTTCTGAACTGGGGATTGAACTCAGGTCCTTGCGCTTGCCAGGGCAGTGCTTATTCCACTGAGCCATCTCGCTGACCCTTTTTTACTCTTTTAAAAATGTATTTGGTACAGTGTCCAAATACTACAGCTCCAACTCGTAGTGATCCTCCTGTTTTCAGCCTCCCCAGCACTGGGATTGCAGGCGGATGCCACCACACCTGGTCTCCAGGGTCTGCTCAGCGCACCCAGGGACGGGGTAGGGCTGGCACAGCTTGTGGTAGCTCCACCTCCCGATTCCTGCACTTGCCTGAGTAGGCACCTAGTCTGCTGAGCTGTCTTGCAGGGCGCTGAGAAGGTTGCACGTCCATGCGATCACAGAATGACTCTCAGCTAACACATCAGCCACAGGAAGCAAGAGTTCCGGGAAGAGCAGGTGTGTCTATGGAGTGGCATGCGGCATCCGTGCTGCTCCACTGTAATCGCTCTAGCTGTGCACTCGGCTATACTGCTTCTAAGACACTACACAGCCAAGGCCAGGGATGCATCCGCGGGCCCGTGAGCTGTGTCCGAAGGAAGGGCTGTGAGGGCTGCACACACCCTCTCCCCGGACTGGTGCACACGGGTCTTCCCCGCCCGCAGTGCTCAGCACAGTTTTCACTAATTCTCACTGCCAGCTCAGAACAACATTCTCATTTTTTATAAAATGCCTTCAATTTGAAGAGTAAGTCCCATCCTCCACACCATTAAAGCCTTTTTTAAAAAGTCTGTTAAAAAACAAATAAAAAGTCTGAGGCCGGGCTGGTGAGATGGCTCAGTGGTCTAAAGCACCTACTTAGAACAAGCTTGGCAAAGCACAGGGACTGCGGTTCAATCCCCCAGCACCACATGCCAGCCAGCCCCGCCCCCTGGTGGGCTGAGCTGGCCACACACACACACACACACACACACACACACACACACACACAAAAAAAAAAAAAAAAAAAAAAAAAAAAAAAAAAAAAAAAAAAAAAAAGTCTGAGGCCGGGAAGATAGCTCAATAATAGCATAAGTGCCTGCCTGACAAGTGCAGGAACCTGAGTTCAATCCACCAGTACCGCAAAAATAAATAAATAAATAAATAATAATAATAATTAAAGAGTCTGTTAGCTTCTTCTCTGTGGGGAACAGTGTCACCAGCGGGGAAAGCAGGAGGGGTGGCCCTGCCTGCCTTAAGGCAAGGGTGGGGACACCCCCGAACTGCTCCCTGTAGCTGGGAACATGGCCCTTCCATGACCTCCAAGAATATGCCATGACTGGGAGATCTACCAAGAACTCGGCCTTGATTCTTTCCCGAGGTCTCAGTATAAAACAAGAACGCCTGGTATTTGTAGCAAGAAAAATTCTGAGTTTAAATTATACTAGCTTTACCTCATGTAACCTCGTATGTGACTGTATAAAAACTCTGAGAATAAAGAACTTCGCCTTTTGCCTGAAGAGTGTCTGGCCCTCTCCCTTCAGCCACCCTCCCTACTCCTGTTCCACAGGTTGCCAAGCAGGAGTTGGCATCTATCCTCTCCAGACTTAAAACCTAAAACACCCAGAAGACGTGACCAGGAAATAAAACCACAGAAGTACAACAGGCCAGTATATTTAGCAGGGCTCTGCATGCCCAGCAGGCCCAACAGTGAAAAAGAAAACTACAAGAAAAAGCAGAGCGATTCACTTGCTAACAATTGAACAGAAATTCATCTTTGGGCACTGTTCTTCCATGAAAACAGGCATTTTGGCTGGGCATGGCAGTGCACGCCTGTGATCCCAGCAGTGCTGAGGAGGCTACGGGAGTAGGATTGCCAGTGCAGGAGCAGCCTGAACTGCACAGTGAAACCTTGTCTTAAAAAGACGAAAAACAAATGACTTTTTTTTAGCCTGTCAACTATATACCTCACAGGGTAAACCTTTTTGTTTTTCCTTTTGCTATGAACCCTTGTCTCCGGGGCTGACTTTAAATAGATTGCATGGGACCAGGGAGACAGCTCAGTGGCTTAAGTGCCTGCCTGGCAGGCACAAGGTCCCTGGTACCTCAATCAATCAATCAATCAATCAATCAATCAATCAGTCGATCAGTCAATCAGTCAATCACATGGAGGGAGCTGCTGTGCTATGTACAAAACACCGACCCAGAAGCAGGTCTCTCCAAGTGGTCTAGCGCCAGGCTCCCCGCCCTTATTCTAGGTAAGAGATGCTCCTTACCCTGAAGTCCACATGCAACTTGTGATCCCGGCAGATGGGGCAAGGATTCCCAGCAACTTTATGCTTGCGCTGCAGAAAACAGAAGCTGGTAGCTGGAGATGTTCCATACCTTGTCAAGTGACTTTGCTCCCCTCCCAATGGCCTCTCCCGATCCCGCTCCGCATGCTGCACTCAGGAACTCACAATGCATGTCCTCCGGGTCTGCTGCGGCGGGATACCACCTTTGTGGTTGCGGCGGTAGTCAGCCCAGATGGGGCGAGAGCCGTATCGGCTCTGGTATTCTGAAACAAACAGCCAGGTAAGTTGCGGGGGGTGAGGGGGGTGTTAGGAAGCTGAATTAGATAAAATGTTGGGGCCAGAGAGATGGCTCAGTAGAATAAGCGCTTCAAGTGCAAGGGTCTCAGTTCAATCCCCAGTTCTGCCAAAAAAAAAAAAAAAAAGAGGGGCTGGTGAAATGGCTCAGTGGTCTAAAGCACGTACTTAGAACAAGCTTAGCAAAGCACAGGGACCGCGGTTCAATCCCCCAGCACCACATGCCAGCCAGC